CAGCTAAACAGGAGGTCGAGGCTGCCTATTGTGCAGCTCTTGGCACCTGACAGCGTTGCTGTTGGTACAGCTGGACTTGAAGTCTCACAAGGGCAAGAATGGAAATGCAGTCAAGCCATCTTCCTACCAAAGTTGTCCACTCCCCAACCTCTCTTCTTCCCCCCAAGTTTTCAGTTTCATCCATGTCTGTTGACCTGAACTGCTTGCTCCAGAAACTAGCTCCTGAGCTCCGGCAGCCCCTGCCATGAACTCAAATTCGCCAGCACTTGGGGTGGCTCCCACTTGCCCCAGTTCTGTGTATTCTGCTGCAAGCCAGGTTGATCACCCCAGGCTCTGACCCACCAGCACTACAAAATCCAGCAACTTGGCTCAACTTAAAAGAAACCCATCATTTGGGGTGTGGATGTTCCCAGCTCCAGCCGTGGTGTCTCAGCCAAGATGGAAGCTGTGCCACCCCCTGCTGCTGAGTTCTCAGAACAAATTGAGATGGCAAGGCCTCCAAGAAGGCAGTTATAATCGTGAGGCGGGGTGGGAGGGAGAAGAGATTCTTTGTGCAGAAATGCTTCTTCAACAGCAAATCTCTCTGATGTGGTGGCTCAGATTCTACAGAACATCCAAACAACTGGCATGTGACAGCTTTGCACCAGGCACTTCTTCCAGACTCCAGTTCTGGGCACAGTCTCTGGTGATTCTAATTAACGAATTTAAACCGGGACTTGCATTTCTCCTGTGCGATTCTGCTTCTGAAGCACTGCACTACTGAGGACTTTTGCAACTGCCAAGACATGAAAGTGTGTTTGCTATTAACACATCACTACATAATTAGGGGACTTAGCAGGGGGGCTGCGTATTGCCATGTTCTTTTTCCTCTGTTGCTGACAGTGTTAGATGAAAGTCTCTAGGTATCCCGTTAGGTGACAAGTGAAAATGAGTTCTTGTGGCCAAAACTAAGCAATTTGGCACAATTTAGTAGAGAGGTGGCATTTTCTGCTCAAAAGGGCCCAGAATTGGAACAGCATGAGGTATTACAGCCCAAGATCAAGATGCGCTGGCCAAGCTGAATGGGTGTCTCATGGAGCAGAGCAGCAGTGGGTCTTGAAGCCCAGGACTGAGATATATTGGCAGAGCGCAGATGGGGAATGTTGCCCAGCTTCTGAGAACAACACAGTTTGTATTTTAATTAAAGCTCCTCTGCTCATGTGCATGGCTCAGCACAAACTTTCATCTTCTGAATTTTCCAGGTCTTTATTAGGATCCATCCAAAAAGCCTACCTTCCACTTTTCCCCACTCCTCCCCCAGTGAAGACATGCTGGTAGCGACCACTCTCACCCCTGTATCCTGCTGCTGCCTCCCAACAAACATCATGGGTGAAGCAGCAGACATGTACACACTAATTTCATGTATATGGACTGATACACGGTTCCCACTTTCAGTTTCCAGTTCAGACCAAACGAGGCCTGTGATCAAAGACAGGAGGCTGTGAGATTTCAGCATGACAAATGGGTGAGTGAGCTGGGCACACAAAACTGGAATAACTGACTTCATGAAGCCCAGGGAACACAGAGAGAAGCAGCAACATAATGGAAATGTTGGAGGGACAAGACGTAACAGGACTGTGAAGCATCTGTAATGCAGATCCTACCCCAAGTACTGCCTAATGTTTACTAGCTACAGCTAAAGATTCCATCCCAGCATTGCAGACACCATGGCCAACCCCAGAAACAATAAAGGAATTCATAGCTGGAGAAAACCCCTCCCCTTCCCACCCTGGGCACAGGCCTCTACCCTTTAAGCTGGACAAAGTAGGTTGAAGGGAATGAGCTCATTTGCGTATGTAAATGCAGCTTACCAAGGAGTAAAGACAATTGCTTCAAGCTTATGGGTTCCAACTAAGAAAAACAAGTCTTCACAGCCCCTTTGGGAACTGGAAGCTTTGGCTTCCACCCCTCCCCTTGCCCATATATTCATCCCCTTTCCTCTTGCTTCCTGCCTAACCAGCTCCTGGCAAACCCCTGTTCCTCAAACCAGAGCCTGTGGTCAGAAAAGCAAGCTCAGGGAGGTCATTAAAAAGCTCCCACACAAACATCTGTTAGCTCCAAGCGGCTGCTGAGAGCATGTGCCATGTGAGCAACTCTCCATAGCTGATTTTCAAACAAGCTGGAAACGTCTCTCTTGTCTGCCTCCTGCAGACAAAGTCTTTTTTCCCCTTTTTTCTTTTTTGCTGAAGGGAACAAGCTCCATTTCCAATAACTGAAGACTGATTAAACCCACTGTGCCCCCCCCCCCCCCAGTCACAAGCAGCTCATACCATGAAACAGTGTCAAGAAAAGGATTTCTTACACAAAAGGCTTCATATAACCAGGGAGAAGAAACAAAGGAAAACTGTTGACATTTAAGTTTTGATTTAACTCTTTGCATTCTAAACCCCATTAACTCTTAGTTTGCTCTTGCTATGCTTTTAATAAAAATATTCCTGCAAAACCTCTTGAAACCAGCATGTTGTATCTCTGAAATGACACACAGCACTGAACTGGAAGTAAGCAGCTTGCTACTTCCATAATTAAACAGGTATTTAATTAATACCCTTTACTCAGCCCATGTGAATTCCTGTGAATCCAAGAACCCAGTGTCCATTTCTGTTACCTCTAAGTAAAATTAGTGGGGCCCTGGGTGGCTCAGATGAAGGAAATAAGGAGCTCAATTCCAGTTCTCAGCTGTCACTTTTACCTCTAATTCAGCTGTTTGAGGTAAATCTAGATCTACATCACCTTAAAACAAATGTCAACTGAGAAACTGCTGCTTAGCTCTTTAACCAGACATGTTCTCTGAGGGAACCTCTTTTCCTTTTTCCAATCTTTTATTTCTGTTGGCTCATAAATCTTTCAATTACCCTTGCAGTCCCGTTCAAGTCCACTGACAGAACTGTGCATGCAGATTGAACGCCAGCAGTTTATGGAGAGCAAACAGCAGTTGTTCCTCCTGAGCAGCTTTGATTTTGTTGATGTGGAGACTCTACCTGTCCTGGCAGGAATAAGGACAACTTCAGTCTTCAGCACAACAATACAGAACACTGAATTAGCATCAGGTGAAAAACTAATCACCCCAAAATGGCTTAATTCCCCAAAGCACTGCTGCATTAGCTAGGTTATCTGCTTGCAGCCTAACCTTCTGATGACATGGTACTAATAATGAGGTCCCCGAGCTGCGACGGCGCTGTGTGTCGTGGCTGCCTTATGGGCATGTCTGATTATGATGTTCTGTGACAAGGCTATAAATACACCCATTCCCACAGGTACAGACCTGATTGCAGTGAGCAGCGAGGGGCTCTGGCAGGTATTTGCTCTGTTCTCACCCAGCATAGCATTGCCTGCTTGAACGGGAGGGCTGTTTATAACTGCACGAGCTCACAGGCCTATCCCCAGGGGAGCTGGAGCACAGAAGCGAGCGAGGTTTCATAATCACATACACATCAAACGTTAGCAGGAAAAGTGCCGAAGGGAAAGAAAGGGTAAACTTGTTCAAATGGAAAAGCCTACTGACAAAACCCAAAGACCACCTGAGCAAAGGAAAAAGGGGATTACATCTTAACAGACCAACTCTGGTGGGCTGAACGTAGGTCTGAAAGGAGATGAAGATAATCACTCCTTTACAGGGCACTTCAGCACAGAGTTATTTGGGGAGAACGGAGTGTTTGAGGATTTCCTGAAGAACAGGGAAGGTGGCTAGGCCTCTACTTTGTTTTAAAGGATTCTGTTCTTACAGATCATTATATTATCATACCATTTTAGGCTCATAAAACCAGTCCATGCACCTATAAAAACTATCCACTGCCTGTGATGAGGGGTTTTTCCCCCTCTCTCCTTCCCCAGCAGTTACAGCACCCATCACCTGCCTGTCCTGCTCACTCTGCACCCTCAGTCCTCACTTGCCCTGAGGAGAAACTTCACACAACAGGAAAATCATAGCTAAATGAGGAAGTCCTCTTTGGTAAGGACCAGCAAGAGAGAGAACCTGATGGGCAGCCAAACAACCCCTGAGGGCCAGACATGAGTCCCTAAATGCTGCTGTACATCAGCTGTTGACTGAATACTAATCCCTGCATCCCAGACAGAAAAACATCGACTCAAAGCCTTCCGCCAACCCATCTCCTTTAGTGTTTGTTTTGTCAGAGTCAAAGGAGATGACAATCACTCACAACACAGCACTGCATAAGGAAATTATCAGCTGCCTCAGCCAACGCACCGTGGTGCGCAGTTGTCAAACTCTTGCAGATCCTGTCAGAAGTCTTGAGCTAATGTTTCTATTACTTCTAAAGAAGCCCAGAAAAACCTCCTTTTGATTAAAAAGGGAAACCTCCCTTTCGACTTGCTACACCACCTCTGCAATGGGCTGAGAAGGCAGCAAAGGGTGCGCTCTCCTGCTGCAGTCTACACAGCCTGCCTCAGGATCAGCGTGGGCAGAGAGCTCACGAAGTCAACCTGGAGAAGGTATGAGAGAGAACAAGACCAGAAACTACATTATAAAGGAAGAATGTATACTACGGCCAGTGATTAGCTTCTGCTCAGTGACTGGTTTGCTGAACACAAGCTGGTCAGGCAGAGGCACTGGTGTGAGACAGGGCAGGGGAAGGGCACTGGTCTGCCTGGGGCAGAATGGAAATACAATACGCAGAGCCACTAAGATGCTGGGCGACAAAGGACAGAGGAAAAGGGGCACCACAAGGAAGAAGCCAAAAGAGAGGAGGGTGTTGGTACCAGTGCAGAGGAGGCTGCAGGCACGATGCTCTGACACGCTTCTCCTCCGCGCTGCTTGCCCAGTCTGAAAGGCTCTCGGCCCAGCACCGGCTCTATGGTGCCGGGTCCGCCGGGGGTCTGTCCCCAGCAGAGCCTGAGACACTGTGGTGCCTCCGGTCCCGCCATTTCCCCTCACGAGGCGCTGGCGCAACCTCCGTCTCCCACCCGATTCCCGTACACCGCTGCGCAGGCGGCACCGCCGTTACCTCCGCAAGGTACGCTGGTTACGCAAGGCCCGCCTCCATTCCCGAAGCGGCTCTACAACAGCCCGCGGCCGGCGGGGGCGGGGCGCTACGGAGGCGGCGTAAGGAGGCCCCGGCTGGTCACGTCCCTCCTCAGGCACGGCGGGGCGGGGCGAAGCGAACCGGGCAGGCCGCGATGTGGCACCGGTCGGTGTGCGTGGGCCTCCTGGCCCTGGCGCTGGGCTACCTCTGCCTGCTGGGCCCCGAGCTGTCGCCGCCGGCCCTGCGGCACCTCTCCGCCTCGCTGCTGGGCACGCTGCGCCGCGCCGGCTCGCTCGAGGGCCGCATGGTGTCGGCCTGGCAGGCGGCCATCGTCCGCCCGGCCCGCGGGTGGGCGCGCGTCGCCGTCGGGTAGGTGCGGGCAGCGCGGGGCCGGGGGAGAGCGCCCCTGGCGGCGGGGCGGGGAGCGGCGAGCAGGGGAGGGCGCCCCTGGCGGCGGGGCGGGCTGTGGTTCCATACATCCCTGTGTGTGTATAGAGGGTCTGAGGGAGCGCGGAGCAGCAGCAGATAGGTGTGAGAGACAAGTTCATAACGACTTTGTAACAGGGGAGAGCTAATAGAGCCGGGGCGCAAAGGAGGGAAGGGGCAGGAGGAGGTGGCGGGTGCCCCTATCCTCATTTTAAGCTGGGAAGAGGACCAGGGAAGTTAAGGGATATCACACTGACCGTTGCATGCAGCGCTTGGCTCACTGTCTCTCAAACAAGGCCGTGACAGGATGCGTTGGCTTTGACCAGAAGATTGGGCCTTCAGGAGCTGGAAGAAGCGGCTGTGCCTCGATGGCGGCGTGGCTGCAAAGCTTTCGTTGGAGTCTGGCCTGTGCCATGGTCGATGCAGGGCAGAGCAGGTTTTGCAGAGCTCTGTGTAGTCCTGTTTGCTGCAGCTTGGCTGGAAAAGACCCGAGGATCTTCATTTTAATCCTTGTTTGAAGCGGTCGAACATGGGTATGATTTATACACACAACCCAAACACTTGGGGCCTTAAGGTTCAGCAGCAAACACGGCTCCTTAGGCGGTGTAGCTCTGCTGTTAGGGGAGATAAGTCAAGCATGAAGGGTGTTAGTGGAGGAACAGCAGGGACAGAGAAGACATTTGGAAGAGGATTAGAGGTCTCTCACTTAAAGAAGTGTGACTTGGGTGATGCCCCCTTAATGGTTCATTAAATATCAAATCGCTGGCCTTTTCTTGCAGTGACTTTGGGGTAAAGTACTGCTCGAGCTCATTCTTTCTTTGGTTTTCTTTTCTCTGCCAGGAGAGGGGATTTTCCTCTCTGTGGCGTATGAGATGATGCACAGTACAGAGGGCCTCTGAGCTGTTACCTCGGGTACAAAACCCTGCAGGGGTTTTAATGTCCTTCATTGTGTGTGTTATGGCCTTCTTGTGGCCCAGATCACACATGAAAGGTCAGTGACAAAGAGGAGTCATAAATGGCTGCGTGTTTCACACCAACACGTCAGCAGGCCCTGGCATTGAGGGTGCCTGGGTACAGATGCAGTCAGAGATCCTGCAGAACTTCTATAGCTCGTTTGGATCCCTGTCCAGGAAGCACAGGAGCAGAAACTGCACTGGACAGCACTTCTGGAAGATGCTTTAGTAACTGCTGGTATTGTGTCAGGCAATCCCAGCACAAGCACAGGCTGGGGAAGACCAGACGGAGCAGCCCTGAGAAGGACTTCGTGTGTTAGGTGAGGAGCAGCTGCCCATGGCCTGGCTTCAGTGTGTGCTTGAGCCCAGAACCCCCCCGTGTGCTGGGCTGCACCCCCAGAGCGTGAGCAGCAGCTCAGGGAGGGGATCCTGCCCCTCTGCTGTGCTCTGGGGAGACCCCCCCTGCAGCCCTGATCCAACTCTGGGGCAGCAGCACAAGAGGGACCTGGAGCTGTTGGAGCGAGGCCAGAGGAGGCCATGGAGATGCTGCGAGGGCTGGAGCAGCTCTGCTCTGGAGCCAGGCTGAGAGAGCTGGGCTGGGGCAGCCTGGAGAAGAGAAGGCTCCTGAAGGGGAGACCTTAGAGCAGCTCCAGTGCCTAAAGGGGCTGCAGGAAACCTGGAGAGGGGCTTGGGACAAGGGCCTGTAGGGACAGGCCAAGGGGAATGGCTTGAACCTGCCCGAGGGGAGACTGAGCTGAGCTCTTGGGCAGAAGCTCTTCCCTGTGAGGGTGCTGAGGCGCTGGCACAGGGTGCCCAGAGAAGCTGGGGCTGCCCCATCCCTGGCAGTGTTCACGGCCAGGTTGGACACAGGGGCTTGGAGCAAGCTGCTCTAGTGGCAGGGGTCCCTGCCCATGGCAGGGGTTGGACTGGATGAGCTTTGAGATCCCTTCCAACCCAAACCGCTCTGTGGTTCTATAATACTGGTATCTCCCTGAAACCAAGGAGTAGAAACAAGGACATGTGTTCATAAACTTTTTTCCAGGGAGCTTGGTTCCAGCCCAGAAAACTTCCTGCTTCTGTGGTCTGAGCCAGCCTGTGTTTAAATTGATGTAAGTGATAAGAACTGGGCACTGGAAGAATGGAGCCACAGATCAGACTTTAGGTAAAGCCCAGATCTGCTGAAATAGTTCTTCTTGCTCCCTAACTGCTGCAGGACTGGCTTCCTGCCTGCACAGTTTGAAGGAAGGTGCTGTGCTGGTTATGGAGATTCAGGATGTTCCTTTGGAAAGTGCACTTTTCAAGTGTTTAACTGACACACAGCTCTCTTGACCTGTTATAAACAGAGCCAGCCTATATGAGGGGTATTTGTAAGGGGGGCTTTGCTTATTGTCTAGAGTAGTTGAAACTCAGGAGGCTGATCTGGTAGCTTAAGTCCTTTCATTTTGTTTTGAACAGCTTGGAATTGCATGTACATTTCAAACCCAAGGTTTGTGACATTTTAGAAGCTCCTGTAAGAATTAAACCCACTATGCTTGTTCTGAGCAAGTGTGAGGCAGCAAATGAAGTACAACGCATGCTGTCCCATACGCACCCACCTTTGGACCACACGGCTTGGCAGGATGTTAGAGACCCTTCAGTGCTCCGTGGTGCTGCAGCAAGGCAAAACCACATCAAAAGGAGAGCGCTTTAATAGAGAGGCTCAGGAAAGTCGCATGCCCTTGCGGGCTTGTTTGTCATGGGGTTGGTTGGTTTGCCCCTCAGGGTGAGGGCTGCGGGGGGCTCTCCTTGGACCCCTCACAAGCACCACGGGGGGGGGGTGCACCTTGCCCAGGCTGTGTTTTCCTGTCTTGCAGCGTCAATGCCTGTGTGGACGTGGTCCTGTCCGGCGTGAAGCTGTTGGAGGCGCTCGGCGTGGAGCCCAGCGATGGGAAGAACCACGCGGTGCTGAGCTCCCGGCGGGACCTGGGGGAGGCATTCGCTCACTTCATGGACAAGGGGGCGGCTGCCGAGCGCTTCTTCAGCGACGCCGAGTCCTTCCACAGCATCGCCCGCACGGCCTCCGAGCACCCCGGGGCCCAGGTGCGTCCTGCCTGAGGATGAGCTCTGAGGAGCACCTTTGTTTTGTGCCCCGCTGCTGAGGTCCGAGCTCTGCCCAGCGAGGGTGCAAGCTGTTTGGGAAGGAAACTGATGGTACAGCTTGAGTGCGTTCCTGACTTCCTGCAGACCTCTGCACCCGCTGCAGTACAAAGGGTTCAGTGGTCTGTCCCCTGCTTGCTTTCTCCCCAGACTGAGATGTCAGTCTAAGGTGCTTCTGTAAGAAAGTGATGCAGGAGCCAGTGATGCTGTCCAGGAGGCTCTAACATCTTGTAATGATGTGACAGGAAATAGGTCCAAGCATTAGGAGCTGTAACGGCTCTGATCAGATTCAGCTGTGTAACCCAGGATTTCAGTTCTCTCCAGGGCTGATGAAAAGCACTAAATATACTATTTCTGAAGGCTCCCTTTCCAAAAGCAAAGCTCTGTTGCTCTAATTTATACTGGGTCTACTGAATCCAGCCTGATCCCTCTCTTGGTGCTAGCTGCTTTAATGCCACTTTCTGTGCAGTTCACCACCTGGAAAGTTCACATTCTGGAAATGAGGAAGAGCTCTGAATGCCTTTTAATGGTCAAGACTCTCCTTGTTTCTCCCTATGCTGGCTTTCTGGAAAGGCCGGATGAGTAGCTGTAGCCTCCTATAGCCTGTTTCCTTGTCACCTCCGAGTGCCTGTGATCCTCATGATAACCTGTATTCCTTGCTTCCAAAGCTCCCACCAGAGTTTTCTCACTCAGAAGTTTGACCTTTCTTACCTGAGGAGACTCCACGTTGGCCCAGGCACCTTGATCTCAACCTTTGCAGTTTTCATACGCTTGCTAAACTCCCACCAGTTGCCAGTAGAGAGCCTGCACAGACGTGAGGGCTGTTTGTGTTGGGAATCAATGGAGTTTTACAGGGCTGCTACCTGAAGGCGAGGATCAGAGCACGCTCAGCTCGCTGAGCTCTCACAGGGGGTTGTTTGGCCTTCAGCCCCAAAGAGTTTTGTTGTGCAACGCCAAAATCTCTATACCAAGAACTAAGCATGTCTAAAGCTATCAAAGCGAGGGAGTGCCCATACCTGCCCCTCTTTGTTTTGCAGCTGTACGTAGGAGGAAACGCTGCTCTCATCGGTCAGAAGCTTGCAACAAATCCAGAGCTGAAGGTACCCAAAACTGTCAACACTGTTTGCTTGTCTGTAATGAGGCTCCCATTGCTTCCCTGTAGACTTGGGGGCTGTAGGGACAGGCCAAGGGGAATGGCTTGAACCTGCCCGAGGGGAGACTGAGCTGAGCTCTTAGGCAGAAGCTCTTCCCTGTGAGGGTGCTGAGGCGCTGGCACAGGGTGCCCAGAGAAGCTGTGGCTGCCCCATCCCTGGCAGTGCTCAAGGCCAGGTTGGACACAGGGGCTTGGAGCAAGCTGCTCCAGTGGAAGGGGTCCATGTCCATGGCAGGGGTTGGGACTGGGTGAGCTTCAAGGTCCCTTCAGCCCAAACCAGGCTGGGATTCCCTGATCCCATGTTGCTCTTATTTCTTAGGTTAGTCTTCCAAGCTGAAAAGCATAGCTATTTTTTTTAATTAAATTATTATTATAATCACTTGTCCAGGTGATGTTTAAATGTGTGGCAGTGGTGGCAAGGGACATGGCAGGGAAACCTGCATTGAGTGTTCTTGTTTTTTAGATCCTCCTTTGTGGCCCAGTTGGTCCTAAACTCCATGAACTACTTGATGACAACGTGGTTGTGCCACCTGAGTCCATGCAGGAAAGAGATGAATTCCATCTTATCTTGGAGTATCAAGCAGGTACTTTGCCAAAGGCTGAACGTTAGGTTAGATGGGAACCCCAGGCATCACTAAGATATTCTTGCCTGTAAAGCTGTTGGGGTTTGAATCACTTAATTCCGGGACCATGTACAGACGTCTAAAAGTCTTCTGAAACCTTCTGTCTTTGCATTATGGTGAATGTAAGGACCCGCTCCTGCTGCTGCCTTGACATCTCTTTGCTTCTGCGTACTATAACCTAAAGAAACCAAGTGGATTTTGATCTTGTTGCAATGCATAGCCTACTCAGACCTGGCAGGTGTCGTTCCAAAGCTGTATGAACACTACATCAGTCTAGTAATGTTCTCTGAGAGCAGACAGGTACCATTTAACCACATGCAGGTGAAATTCAGGGTAGCCCTAATGTACCAGCTAAACCAAATCCAGGTGTGTTTTCTTGCTGTTCTGAATGGTTTCACTGGTTCTGTCTCAAAGTCCAGCTTGAGGAAGGCTTGCATTGGTGTGACAGGAGCATTTGGCAAGGAAGGAAGGCAAAAGAACCATCTTAATTAGACTTGTTTAGCAGCAACACTAAGCTGGAGCAGCACCCAGAGCATCCGCTCTGGCTGAAACAAGGTTACTACAACTGACAAGTACTGGAGCTCAGGAGCCAATGGAGAATACACTGATCTTTAAGTAACTCTGGCTCCTGGTTAGAGGATACATTAGTATATGATGTCTCCTTTTCTCAGCATCTGTGCTCTCATGGGAGAACTGCTCTCCTGAGACTCTGTGGATCTGCGGCCTTGAGAAAACTTTGTCACAAGACTCTTCTTTAAGAGGAAAGGGCACACGTGGCTGTTGATGCTGGGTTAGTGGCTCTTCCACAAACACTGGCCATATTCTCCATAGTATAACCTGTACACAGCCCGGGAGAGTGAGTGAAGAAGTATGCAGGCTGGGTCTGAGGTAGAGAGTCTCCCTACAACAGCCTCAGAAATGCTTGTGCCTCAGGAGCTATCTGTTCCAGCTGCATTTATTTATTCCCTTACGTTTCTTTCTGACCCGTTATCACAACTGGCGCAAGGAACTGCCTGAACAGATGGGGAGAGCTGGCAGAGGGCTGCCCAGTTGGACCATGGCTTGTGTAGTTTGTATCCTCTGGAGGCTCGCAGTCGGTATCCTGACTTCTCATGGTTCAGTGTCCCAGAGATGGAGCCCTGGAATACAAGGGTTTACACACACAGCACTGCTGCAGCTCTCTTCTGCACGTCAGTTCTGGGAGCTATGCAGTTGGGTACAGTGAGAGTTTCCAGGGTCTGTGTTCATGAGACAGCTTGAGTGAAGCCAGTGCAGTGTGGCTGCCAAAGGGGGAAGGTCTCCCCTCCCTCTGCACATCCTGCACACACTCACCTGATCTCATGCTAAACTGATTAAAACATCACAAAGCTTGCAAAGCCAACCAAGTATTGAATTTTCCTTGTGGTCCAAAAAGCATCTAAATGAGGCAGAGGGAGTGAGTGAAGAGAATGAATGAAGACAAGAGGAGGATTTCTCCTATGGCCAGCCATAGGGGCACAGTCATGTTGTGTCACCATGGCTTTGGGTTCCAGCAGGATACCCCACAACTATCTCCAGAGACATGGTTTGATTTGCTTCTCTTCTGAGTTAACCTGCTCCTGTTTGTCTCACGCCAGGTGAAGAGTGGGGACGAGTGAGAGCACCCAATGCCAACCGCTTCATCTTCTCCCACGACCTGTCAAATGGTGCCTTAAACATGCTGGAAGTGTTTGTGTCCAGCCTGGATGAATTTCAGCCAGACCTGGTGGTGCTCTCAGGACTTCACATGATGGAAGGCCAGAGCAAGGAGATGCGGCAGAGACGACTTATGGAGGTGAGGTGCTCCAATACCAGCGTCTCCTTAACTTCCAGGCCAGGAAGTGCTCCATGGCAGAGTCCTCCTTTCCCAGGTTGGAACTTGCAAGCAGGCTGTGTCTACAGATCTGCCACAGACCTTTTCAGTGTTGTATGCTAAAAGGATGTGAACTATCAGAATGGCAAAAGCCTAATCCTCTGGCACTGATGGTTCTTAGATCCAGTGGGCTGCCTAGGGGATAAAAGGTATGGTCTGGTTCTCTGGCTGGAGTATGTTGATGTACTTACTGGTGGCTAAATTACATTGTGTTTCCTATCCCAGCTACTAAGATGATGGAGGTTCTAATCAAGATTTGCATTCTTTAAGTTGCATCTGTGTTAGATAATCCAGGAGGCAGCTTCCTCATCTGAGCCCAGAGGAGCTACACAAGTTTCCTTCTGCCTTACAGCTCGTTGCCTCTCTTACAGCCCAGTGCCCTTGATGCCATGCACCAGCATTATTCTTTTTCTCTGTTCTAGGATCAGCTGCTCCAGAGTTGGGAGGTTTCTGAATTAGTCCATTAGGAGCTGAGCTGGTGCAGATCAGGGTTAGACACAGCCTTCCTGCTCTGGGATTCTGACAACTAGAAGTTGTTTCTATTTCTTCCCCTCAGTACATTCTCAAGACATGGCACTTGGAATTGTGTTGAAATCCACACACAAGAGGATTCAGGGATGTGTATTTCTGAGGCAGAGCCTTTTTGTTCCATTTATTCATGAATTTGTATTTTAGGGTTGTTGGTTTTATTTCCCTGTCTGCTGTAGGCTGTGGCCTCCATCTCTGACATCCCCACTGACATCCCCATACACCTGGAGCTGGCCAGCATGACCGACCAAGATTTTATGAGCAACATAATGCATCAGGTAAGGAAAACGAAAGGATGTGCTCTTTTTATCAGTTTCCTTTTCTTCAGTGTCAAAACGCACAAACTGGTATACAAACATAGAAATGAAAACTTAAAATTAGGGCTGTTCATTTCAGGTAAGTGCAGGACATGGGTTTAGTGTCTGCTGTGGCATTCTGAGTGCTGCTCTTCTCTCAGTTGAGCTTAGCAGAGTTACCCAGAGAAGCTGTGGCTGCCCCATCCCTGGCAGTGTTCAAGGCCAGGTTGGACACAGGGGCTTGGAGCAAGCTGCTCCAGTGGAAGGGGTCCCTGCCCGTGGCAGGGGTTGGACTGGATCAGCTTTAAGGTCCCTTTGACTCAAACCAGTCTGTGGTTCTATGATTCAGCAACAGTATTCAGCAGAAACAGGCACAACGCACCTGGGCTCTGCTTTTTCTCAGGCTGTTTTGCATTCACAGTGAGAAGGTGACCCAGGAGCAATACTGGCAACTCCACAGATACAGTTACCTTTGGCTGGTTTAGATCCAGCAGGCTTGCAGCTGTCTAGAAGAAACCAGGATGTGAATTTGAGCTGAGTTGGTAATACTTAAAACCCCTCAGTTTCTCTGCAGGATTTCTTTCCTGCAGGTCCTGCTGGGTCCTTGTTTAGTTTGACACATGCTAATCTCAGGAGTGTTTCATGTGCATTTGATGTTCTGTTGCTCTTTGCTGTCAAAGGGCACAAAATAAGCATACCTCCTTGCTGTGAAAGGTTTCCTTGGCTAAGTCATTCTTGCACATTGCAGACTGGGGCAGCTTGTGCAGTGGTTGTGGCCTGCATGTCTCCAGGACACAGGGTGCTCCTTTCTGCTGGGCACACTGGTGACAGAGCCAGCGATGGGGTACTGTTCAAAACAACACCCTGGAGGAAGAGGGCCAGTCTGATTGTCCCTCCGGAGGAAGAACTGTTGTTTCTGTATTTCTGTTAGCAGGTCTTTCCCCTGGTGAACTCCATTGGGCTGAATGAACAGGAGCTGCTGTTCCTCACACAGGCTGCCTCTGGTCCTCACGCATCCCTCACTTCCTGGAGTGGCATTCCCGATGTGGGTATTGTCAGTGACATCCTCTTCTGGATCCTGAAGGAGCACGGGAAGACCACGGAGCGGGCCTCTGATCTCACACGGATCCACTTCCACACCCTGGCCTACCACATCCTTGTCACTGTGGATGGGTACTGGGGCAACCAGGCTGCTGCTGTGGCTGCTGGAGCTCGAGCAGCAGGGACTCAGGCCTGTGCCACCGAAACCATCGACACCACCAAAGTCTTTCTTAAAGCTCCTATGGAGTTTGTGACCTCCCAAATAGAGGCACCTTCCAAAATCTCTATAAATCCAGATGAGCCAGTGGTGCATTGGCACCGAGAAGGCATCTCCTTCCATTTCACTCCTGTTTTGGTGTGTAAAGATCCTGTCCGGACCGTGGGACTTGGGGATGCTATTTCAGCTGAAGGACTGCTCTATTCGGAAGCATATCCTCAGTAGAAAACTAAGACCCTCCTTTTTCTCCAGTACTGTACTGTGTCTGAGGAACCATGGATTAGGATTTCAGGCAGTGGTGGTATAGGAACAGAATCAGGTTGTGGTGGGTTTTCTGGATATAACTGAAAAAAGAGCCAAAGAACAATTCCAGGTATGAACTGTCCAGCACATTCCAGTCACTGCCAGTGACTTGAATGCTTCATGCTTAGGTGCAGGTGTTCTGGTATTTAATGTGAAAATGGGCTTTGCTTTGTCTTAAGCACATGGGGAGGGAACTGAGTATTGAAATCCCTGTTTGGAACTCCAAATGGCTCCAGTTCTGTTAGTGCTGGAAAGCAGAGCAGCCGGGAGGAGCTCCTGGTGCGGATCCCAGGGAGAACGCTGTCTTCCCTCTGCTAAACTAAAACTAAAAGGCTCTTGCATTACCTCCTCCCAGCCCCTTGCTGGTGGCAGGAGCAAACCTTCCGCTTGCTTGGGGTGAGGATGGAAGCTTTTGCCTTTCAGCCTCAGTGTCCCCGGCCTTGGGGAGAGCCAGGCTCCCAAAATGTGATGCACACTGCACGACTCCTTAAATGCACCCACAAAACCTGGCTCAAGGCTGCCTACATTTACCCTGGGTATCTGTTTTCTCTGTACTAAAGGTATCCAGCTGAGCCCTAGCAGCCTGTGCTTAGTTTTGGGGGGAAGCTAGAAGTGATCAGGGTTGCTGTTGGAGGAGACAGCTTTATTTGCTTGCTGGGTAAACTACAAAGCAATAGCTGTGGTTGCTGTGCACTGAATCCCTTCTTTGCTAACAGTGGGTGCTTAGATCTGGTATTTTGGAGAGCTGTGGAGTGCTGGAGACCAAGGTTTTGTTGGTGCTTGAGTTTCCCTGCCCTCCATTCCAGTGTTACTATACTGGGGAATCTGGAGGCACAAAAGCCACAGCATTTTCCAGGTAAGACTGAAGTCAGGGAAGGCTTGGTTTTAGGGTTTGGTGGGTTTTTCCCTCTTTGATGGGTCATTGAGAGTTTCTTTTCTCTGGACAGCCTTTGACATTAAACAAGTACAACCACGTGTCCTTGTTCAGTACTTCCTGCATACTCTTTTCCTGTCTCCTTTGCTCCTCTCCCTGACTCTTTCAGCCACATGCTGTGGCTTGCACAGCACCAGCGTGTGTTTGTCTCTTTCCAGCATGGTTCCAGCAGGAACTTCAGGTATGTTTGCATAGCTGTCATACATGTTTTCTCAGTATAATTGGATTAAATGCAGTCAGTGTGTCTATGCAAGGCTGGGCCCTACCAGAATTTGTAGGGGGTCACTTGAGGTCAGTCTTAGCATCTGAATGGAGGAAGGAGACTCCATGGTGCTTAGGCTGGAGGGATCCGTTTCACTACATGTCCTATTGCTGGCAGTGATGTTCTCCCATTGGAAAATGCCACTGTGAATGCTCTGTAAGGGTAAAAATTGACAGCTTTTGTAAGTTGTCCTGACTTAGCACACAGTGCTGCCTGTCACCGTGTGCTTAACTGCTGCTTCCCCTCTGAGCAAAGTCTTCTGTGTTGTACCACATGAGAAATACAGTCAGTGCAGTGTTTTCTTGCAGCCTGTCCCATCCTCTGTTGCATCTCAGCATGTTATCCCAGTGCAGGATCTTCCTTAGACTGGAAGTATTCCTATCCACAGTAATTTTTATGCTCATTGATAAACTGTAGCACTGGACTTGCAGTTCTGCTTTAGCCTTCCTACAGCAACAGTCAGATCTTCTCCTTTCAGCTCTGTAAAGGCCCAAGGCCATTTGCAAGGTTATTTGGCCACCTTTGAGGGTAGCCTGCTCGCCACCTGCATCCTGCCAGCTGGAGAACCGACCTGTGCTTATGCTGGGTCCCACTTTCCTGATGCTGAGCCAGGCTGGGGGCAGCCTTGAGTTGGAAACAGAACCAAACACACACAAGCTGTCACCAGCAACGGGCCTGCTGCTGGATTTCACTTCCCCCTTCCAAAACCAGTGGATTGGACTGGTGTTGACTTACAGCCATTTAAAATCACATAACTGCACTAACAGAACTTGTCCAAGAGTAAGTTCTGCTTGTGTTCAACAGGAGGGTCACAGGCCTGGATCAGCTTTTTGTTAAAGAGCTTTGAAGGAAGAATTGCTATAACCAAGTCTGAAGAAGGGGTTTATTGCTTACAATTCACCCAGACCTAGAAGCTGAACTCTCATGATGATTATTACTAACCCTTCCTGCTGCTTCTGCTCTTTCCCACCAGGTAATATTCCTTCTTTGGCCTGTGAATGCCTGGCACTGAGTCACTTCTCAACAGCAGCTCAACTGCTGTTCTGTCTCTGTCTGCTTTTATCAGGCCTCGAGACCTCACCTGCTCCCCAGATTCACTTACCAAGGCTAATTCTTCACAAGCATGACCTGTTCAGGATACACCATTGCTACCCGATTTAGGTTTGAAACAATCTGTGTAACAACAAAACTGGATGGAATGGCAGGGCCCAGCAGCCTGCCTGTGCTCCTTGTTTCACAGGCTGTGAGCACGATGCGCTTCACTTCCCTCTGCCTCCCCAGCTTCATTATGGCTTGTGGAGTCTCCTGGAGTCCTCCTCCTGCCCTAGCTGCCTCGCACCGCTGCCCAGCTGCAGCAGTGACAGCAAAGCAAAGCTGCTGTGTCTGTATCAGACCTTGCTGACCACCCCACATGAATACAGCCGCTGGGGTTGTTTGGCCTGTACAAGGGGAAAAAGCAGTGACATTTCCATTGATCGTGGGTTCGTGGTTGTGTATTTTATAATAAAAAGGCCACACCAAGTCACTGGGAGGTGAGAGGTTTTTAAACAAACTTTTCTGATGGATTACAAACCCCCCGAGCTCCCTTCACTGGGAAGAAACAGAACAGTTGCAAAAGTACCAAAGCTTCAACCCCAGCCTTGAAGGGATCTCTGCTTTCCCCTCTTGTCACTACAAAAACTGTTTGTTCCTGTGGGTTACTCATACCTCTCAATCCACAGTGCTGCATAGCTCAAGGCTCAGCTGGCCCTGTACTCCTGGACAGAAGGGTTTCCACAGGAAATGTTTATTCCCCACATAGTTTGCTGAAGATGCAATGGGTGAGCTCATCCCTGTGACAGCAAGCTAGCAGCTTGGAACTGGATGAGCTTTAAGGTCCCATCCAACCCAAACCAGTCTGGGACTCTGTGAACTCCACTTACCCTCAAGGTTGTTTAAACCTTTTGCTGTGGGGCTCTTGCAGCTTAGGTGAGCACGGATGCTGTTGTCAAGGAGTGAGCAGCCAAACTGTCCCTCTCCATGTTGAGACCTGGCACTGGCTGCTGGTCCCTGTGCTCGGAGCAGTCTGTGCTGAAGCAGTGCTCACAAGTACTGCTGTCACAGTGTGCTGCATTGCTATTTCTGCTGTAGGGAAACTCATCCATTTCCAAGTACATCTGAAAGAACCATAGAAAAATGGATAAAACCTGCATTATGTTCTTCTGGCTTTAGCTGGACTGTTCTTGCACCCTGCATTAACTCAGTACTGGGGTGTGACTGGTTGGTTCAAGCTGTATCAATTGTGCTCTTCTGTAGCGCAGTTAAAGTTTTGGTAAAAGCTCCCAGTTGAGTTTTAAACCTGTGATCATACCAAGGCTCATGCTTTAAATAAAATACGTTTATAGACTCATTGGTTAAAACCAACCAGAACAGACTCCAAACAAAGCCTGTCTCATGCTCTTCATCCAAGAACTCGTGAGGTTACTAGAGAGAGAAATGAGAATGGGAAAGGTTGTCTTTGCTCTTTGTTTTTAAAGCTTCAGTGCTAAGGGGCAGAGGAAACCTATTTGCAGCCTATTTTGCTCTCCTCATGCCTGTCTCTTTCTGCTTCAGCAATACTGAGTTTGATGAAACTCTTCAGTAAAACTTGATCTTAAGGCCAGAAATGACTGTTTGGGCTGTTCAGAGACATCAGATGAAGTTCTCTTCCGTAACCGATGGAGCAGCTTCTTGTGTAACACCTCAGGTGGAACCTCCGTGCTGACCAGACTGAATCCTCAGGGAGTTACTGATCCACACTCCTGTGGGAGGATGTTCCCTCGGCAGAGGGAAGAAGCACAGGTTGCAGACAGCATGCATGGCCATTACCTCCTGTGCCAGGAGCTTGGGACAGCGTCTGTTCCCAACAGCTCGCTGTCACTTTGAACACTGAGCCTGGCAGCAGCCGTTCCTGAGGAGCTCTCAGCAGCTGAAGAGCACAAATGCTGCTGAGGAGGAAGGAGCTCATTGAAGGGTGAGTGGGGAGACAAAAAAATACACCCTGAAAAGCTCCCCTGTGAGTTTCTCAGGAAAGCTGCTCCTTCATCAGCTCAGCCTGGGTAAAACTGGGCTCAAACCTCACCTGTATCTACACTGATACTTGGGGTTCTGTGCAGTTTGCTTTGAGAGTGCTAAAGCTTTCCATGTAGCAGAACTGTGTTTCCTACTATATAAAACTCTTGGCTGATGAACTAGTTGTAATCCATCTTCTTTTTGTACTGCATTTAGGAGTGGAGCTTATTATTTTAGTCAAGTTTATGTTTCTTATTCAGCACTGAGACTTGTCTCTGTAGCAGAAACAGAAACCCACTTCCCAAGGGGGAAGTCTAAACCCTTAACACCTTCCACAAGAACAGGAGGTTGAGTAGGACCCAAGGCCCACCTTGCTCAGTACAGGCTGGCACTGACCACAGCTGGGCTAAACCAGATCGTGTACAGGAGCAGGGCACGATCCTGCTGTATGATACATCAGCAGCCTGTTGGCTCGGGGACCTCAAAGCCAGTTTGTCTGGGTTGCACACCCACTGCTGAGCAGAGAGATCATTACTCTTGGCTGAAACAAGGCCCAAGTGTTGCTGTGTGAGGGACGTGGAGTTTCCTTGCTGGGAGGCAGTCAAGCTGCAGCCCACCTTGTAAGCACTGATTTAACCTCTTTAATGATACATGGCTTTCTAAAACAGGGAGAAAACCCTCCTGAAGCAGATGGTCTCTGCTTCCCTAGAAACTAAGCTCATTATTCTTTTCAGTCTTCAAATTTCAATTAGGGGTCGAAAAGAGAAGATGAGAATTATGGCTGATGCCAGAAACAGGTTTTGGAACATAAGGTGTGATTTCCAAACTCCCTAAATGAGGGAGTATAGGCCTGCTGAAAAAGCCCTTGCTTAATTCCAGTTGAAAGAACTGTTTGGCCTCAATTCTCATCATTAGATAAGAAAAGCTCTCCGTAAAGATACCATGAATGTACTGTATGCAAATGCTATCATCACCATACCCAGGGGGAGGAGAGAGGGCAGGACAAGGACCCTCAGCTCTGTTTATTATCCAACCATAATTACACCTTCAAAAATGCTTCCTTAGACACGGAGCTCACTTCTGCTCCCTTCAGATGCAGGAAGTAACAAGGTGCTGCTGCTCCTTTTCATAGACAAACTGATCAACCGTCTGCAAAAGCTTCTCACTAAAATATGTATTTATTTTAAACACGTTTACAGGACCTCCACACAAGCAGAGGGCAGGGCAAAGCAGCTTCTGAAAGCCAAACAAAGGG